TTAGAAATACATTTTTTAAACTTTCTTTTTTTTATTTACTTTCATATATACCCTCTGCCCTGTAACCCCCATAATAAAGTAAAATAAAATTTAAGAGAAAATAAGAAGAAAAAGAAAGATCTCATCATGGAAGCTGTAGTCAGTCAGTCATAATTTAATCATTTATCCATATATCTACTTGCAAGTGTTTATTGCAAAGAGTCCTTGGTCTGGTTTGAGACCTCTAGTTTCTGCTACACTATTGATACTGGTCCCTCACCCTAAACTCCTCTTGGATATCCTGTTTTTGTCCTGTGTCATAGAGATACAACAGCTTTAGGTCTGCAGGATTGGTCCCTTGGCATGCTTCAGCAGATCCCAGATGGGATGGATGTTAGGGTGGGTCAACTCAACCCTAGTTTTGAGCCTGGGTAATTGCAAGTTTGGTCAGCCCACCAACTCTCCCCTGTCTTCACCATCAAAGTGAACTCTGACATTGCCCCAGCTAGTTCACCCCTTGCAGCATAAGCTGCTTTTATGCCCTCGGGGTCAGCTCTCCCACACCTACACCAGCAAGGCCAGCTCTACTGTGTTGCGCAGGTAAGGTGCAGGGACCACTACTCTCCCAAATGTTATAGCTCTCACCCATCATGGTTAGTAAAGGGGAACATCTCGCCCCTGCCCACAGCACAATATGGCAGACAAGGGGCAGGGCTGGAGCTCCCAAGCTCACCATCACCTACATATACCTCACCCCATCCCCCATCCCATCCCACCATCAATAGGAACAGCTCTACTGTGCTGCCCAGGCAAGGTGCAGAACCCGTTCTCCCAAGTGCTGCACCTGGTGAGGGGTCATATAGATGTGAATAATTTGCATTGGTGTGGATCTTGGCTTATTGATACAAATTTCAGGTTGATTTTGTTACGTGTATATTTCTTCTCTTGATTAAGGTATCATGTTTGTGCAGTTCATTTAGAAATGTAATGTATAATTAAGAGATATAGGTTAATAGATAGTCATCTATAATAGTGAAGCTTGTAGTCATATTAGTTAGATTTTCTAGATGTACAGAGATATATTTCAGTTAGATAGATATTCTTCAAATCTTTCACTAGACCTTCAAAATATGGCATTCAAAATGTTTAAGAACTTAAGATTTTTCATGACAATGAGACATATCTGCTCCTGGCAGCACCAAGTTACTTCAAGAGGATGATGGGCATCAAAGAGCCTCCTTATGGAGTTGGTTAGCCATTTGGGCAAGAAACTATCCTTGCCTGTACTACTTAACTGGATATGCAGGATTCACAGAGAAATGACTGCTTAACTTGCCTAAAGGTGAGATGATTCTTTGGGGTTCCAGCTTCATGAAAGAGTCGGTAAGACATTCTTCAGTACACAGAAGAAAGGGACTGAAATTTCCTTCTTCATGGAAAAGTCTGTTGGACACTATGGACCTGTGTACTGAAGATGGATGCCCCGACAATACAGAAGAACTTTGGGTAACTGTCCAGGCAGTGAGATATCTCTGTCATTTTTAGAGTTTTGGAAGTTGCTTACAATGTAGTTTATGTTTACTTAGGTCTGGAGTCTTTGATGGAGTTGAAGAATTTATAGTTACAATTTTTCTTAGTTATGATTAAAGATAAACTAGATATAAATATTGTAGCTGCAATTCTTGCTTGATACCTGTCTTGCTATATTTTACTATGTTAAAGTTAAAACCTTCCTTTTTTATTTAAACAGAAAAGGGGAAGGCGATGTCTCTGGATGCTGTAATTACTACTAATGAATAAAAAACTACTTTGAGCCTATTGCAGGGAAGAACAAAACTAGGCTGGGAAAGCTAGGCTGTATGCTGGGAGAAAAAAAGGGTGGAATTAGAGAGAAGCCATGGAGCTACCAGAGTCAGACATACCAAAACTTTGCCAGTAAGCCACTGCCACGTGGTGATATACACATGAATAGAAATGGGTTAAATTAATATGAGAGTTAGCCAATAAGAAGCTAGAGCTAATGGGTCAAGCAGTGATGTAATAAATACAGTTTCTGTGTAATTATTTCAGGGCTAAGCAGCCAGAATCAACAAGTGGCTCTCTCCTCCCTCCAACAAAGGTTTCTGTCCCACTCAGTCCTGCCTGGTCAGGCAGCCGTTCAGTCACAAAGAAATACCCAGTGGTCTATATTACATAAACTGATTGATCTTAGGCTTCTTATTAACTCTATAACTTATATTAGCCCATAATTCTTGTCAGTGTTAGCCACGTGGCTTGGTACCTTTTTTGGCAAGACAGTCACACCTTGCTTGTTCTGTGTCTGGCTTCCTCTGAGTCTGGGTCATCACTACTGACTGAAACTTCCCTCTTCCCAGAATTCTCATTGCCCCGCCTCCACTTCCTGCCTGGTCACCTCACCTATACTTCCTGCCTGGCTACTGGCCAATCAGCGTTTATTTAAAATACAAGTGACAGGGTACAGACCATGGTCCCGCAGCAGGGTCAACTCCCCCACATATCTAGCCTGAATATTAGTTGCCAGGACTCTGGAATGCTATTGCCTTTGCCACCTTCCTTTGTATGGCACCCTTCCAGCTCCAGCATTATTCTCAGGGTAGCATGCAGACATAAGGAAACATAGTCCTTAAGTCTTCTTATTATCTTAGGGATTTTTGTCTCTGTGGACATCCATTCCTCCCTGCTACCTCCTTTGCTCTCTTCCTTTACTTAGGATCTTCATATTGCCCAAACTATACTTGAACTCACTATGCAATCAAAGGATGACCCTGAACTCCTGATATGTCTGCCTCCCGAGTGCCAGGATTGTAGGTCTGTGGTCACTTGTGTTTTATTTCAAATGAATGAAAAAGGGGCAAGCCTAGCTACTCAACAGACTGAAGCAGAAAGATCACATAGGTACAAGGCCTGCTTGGGCTGTGGAATGAATTTAAGGACAAGTTGAACCATTTACTGAGACCCTGTCTTAAAATAAAATGGGGGGGGCTGTGGTATGGCACACACTAGCATGTTGTACAAAGCCCTGGGTTCAGTTCCTGGTTATGTCCCGCCCAAAAGCTAGATAAGATGCTACATGCCTGGTCTGTGCACCTAGGAGACTGAAGCAGAAGGATGGTAAGTGTGAGGCTAACATAGTAGCAATAAAAATTCCTGGAAAGAAAAACTGTTTATAGAGGCTGGTTGGCTGATTAAAACTGTAGTAATAATGAAGATGTTGGAATGTTTTACTTGGACTAGCTTTAGCCCTGTGAATTCCTTGTCCACCTCTGTTGGAGCATCGTATGACTAATAGATTAAAACCTTTTGTAATCTATTAACTTAGTGGACCCATTTGCCTCCACCATCCCCAAACTAAGAATGTCATCAGATAACATCTCAGGCCTATAGGACAGATCTCCTCATCTTTCTGTAACCGCCTCTCTGATATCCACGCCAAATATATTTTAAACTTGCCTTGTATGACTTTCTTTGTTTGGTAAAACTGTAAAAACTTCTTGAAACTTCTTCCATATTGGAACGTGGAATTTGGGGTCACTTAAACCCATGTTCCCAGGCTGCAACCACTCAAATATGGCCCCTGAATAAACTATCTCTTATTCCCTTTAAGATGAGAATTGTGGGTTTTGCATCTACAGTTGGGTACTCTATGAGACCCTGCTTCAGAAAAAATAGTATAGATCAAGATATATATGTACATGGCATAGCCGCATATACAGTCACGCCACACATCTACATATACAATCCACAGCACAGGACAAATACATAGCACACGGACATATATGCACCACTGGCACATGTACATTGACATAAATCTGCACAGACAGCATCCATAGCATATATATCTATTATGTACGACTATATTCTAACATAACACAAACACATCACACTATCTACATTCTACGTCTCTTGGACATCATTAAAATCACAGATTTGAATATGGTCCCAACAGAACTCAACGTTGTTACATCTAGGTCCTTTTTTATTGTATCTATCTGTGACCTGATTTGTATGAACTGGGGCTGTTAAAATCAGTTGGTGATTTCATAGTTTTGACTCTGTAAGCTTGGAGTTGGAGAGGGCCAAGAAAAATAGAGAAGGGGAATTGTTGGGGGAAGGGATGTTAAATTGCTACATCAACTGTAGTGTAAGAAAGAGAAACTCCCCTTCTCCCCTCCCCTCCCCTCCCCTCCCCCTCCATAGAACACAGCAAGGTTATCATCCACAAGGCAGGACACAGGCATAATAGTCCTATAGTCCTTTGGCCTACCAAATACTGTGCCCTGCCCAGCTCGAAAGTCAATTTTAGATTGAGAATTGCTCTTTTCCTTAAATCAGAGATTTGTTTTCTTTCTTTTTGGGGGAAGGCGTGTTTCTTTTAAAGAAAAGTAGTTGGTATATACATGTGTGTCTGTATCAGATCTGTATGTACGTGTCATTAATACTTCATGTTCCATACAGAACATGTTACACATACAGCCTAACATACATCGCGTGTGTTGTAGATTGTTACCATTTCACAAGTGGCAGTTGGCAAAGGTGTTGGAAAATGTGTAGTCCTAAAGTGGTCTATTAGAGAAGATCACAATCAGAATTCTTGTCTCAATTTTATGTTATCTTCCTCTAGATGCCCTGAGACCATTATAGGACCTACTGAATCAGAACCCACAAGCCAATTCCACATTTCCTGAATTGTCCCACTCCCAGGAAGATGCAGAACCTCTGCAGGAGGGCCTGAACCAAGCTAGGGCTCTACCTCAAGAATACACATACTGTCAGACTTGGGACTCCAAGTCCAGGGTTGCCTTTTACTCCTACCTGTTCAGGAGCGTACTTTATAGCCAGTGTGCGCAACCCTGCATGCTAAGAAGGCAGCCTTGTCTCACAGGCCTTCAGTGACTCATCTCAAGTCCAGTACGCCTACAGACTCTTACTTAGCTCTTCCCACCAAGTCCTTACCAACACCATTTACCGAGTCCCTGGATATGTGTGTGATTCTCCTACAGCTCCTCTGTGATCAGCAGTGCCCAACCACAAGACAGCCAGCATGTGAATGAGGAGAGAGCTTTCTCCGAACCAGAAGTCCAGCTCTCTTCTAAGCGTCAACATCGACAGACATCAGCCATGGAAACCTCTCGCTCCCCTTCACCCCAGTTTGCCCCACAGAAGTTGACAGACAAGCCTCCCCTGCTTATCCATGAAGACAACTCAGCAAGGTAGTGTTCTATGACAGTATGCTACAGCTTCAAACACTGGGGTAAAATCTGGTCTTGAAAAATCGTGTAGAGAATGAGCCGTAGCTCAAATGACCAGTTGTAGTTTAGTGACATCATGTTCCTCTCTGTCTGCATTGAATGCATTTCTGTTTGCCTTACTACCTGGCACATTCAGACTAAGCATATTTTGCTAGTGATCAAAATCAGTTTTAACCCAAGTATAAGATATTTAGGTAAAGTTGAGTAATGTCCAGCATTTTCATACTCTTTAAATTTTCCCCTCTCCCTCCTTTCCTCTTCTTGTTTTGTGAGACATGATTTTGATATATAACTTGAGTTGATCAAGAATTTACTGTGTAGCCTAGACTGTCTACCCTAAACTGTCTTTGAACTCCTCACCCTTTGGCCTCTCACCTCTAAAGTGCTAAGATAGCCAAAGACTTTTATCAACTAATTAGTTCTTCAACCTACCCCCCTTTAAACTTCTGAATGACCCAGATAAAAAGCCCAGTGCCACAGGTTACCTCTTTTCAAAATATGGTTCAATAAGGTCTCATAGATCCCCAGCCATTATAGGTTATTACTGTTGCTCTTGGTCACCTTCCAGAACTTTATCCTATTGCTGAAGAAGTTACAATCTTGAATCATAAAACATGCAAACAAGCTGGTAGTTACCTAAAAGTTTCATCCCCACTGACTAGCTTTCATAGTGCCAGAAAGTGTTACTGATGGTAGGGGAGTGAACTAATAAACAGTCTTACCCAGCTGTGAACTCTGGGAATTATAATAATGAATGTTGTGGGAGTAACTAACTATTTTCTGATTGGATCTAAGACCTGCTCCACAAATTGGAACTTATGCCTGCTACTGTTAACAGTGCCGAGAACCCATAGCTAGGTAGGTCAAAGACTCTAGGAGAGAACCAGCTACTCTCATTCTGATAAGTGGGTATTGCATTAAATCTTCCCTTTTAAGTACTTGTCTTTATACTCATAGGTTGGTACATTTTAGCACTCATCAGAGAAGCTTTTTTTTTTGCAATAGAAGACAATTAACACAGAGATCCATAACTCTTGCAAAGAATATGAAACCTCTAAGTTTTCATACCCTTGTAGCATAAATTCTAATTGGTCTTTATAGTAAAAACTTGGAGTCAGCTATGGGGGTGTGTGTGTGAAAGCTGAAGGATCAGAGAAGCAGAGTGGCCAGGCACTAGAGAGTTCTTGTCCTACCAATGTTCAGGCTGAAGGGGAGATCCTGTCTCTACAAATCCTTACAATGAATGTTTCTTTGCCACACCTCAGACTGCAGGCTCAGTTTGCATCCTCAGACTCCATTTGTCTCCACTAAACTTGAGAATGCAACTGAGCTCCTGTCTCCTCCAGCCTTCTGTTCTCCACCCAGGCATATCCTTTCCCGTCACTACCTCCCTAGTGCTGGGATTAAGGCATGTGACTCCCAAGTACTGGGATTAAAGGTGTGAACCACCACCACCCAGCTCTGTTTCTCTTTGAGACTGGATCAATTTCGTGTAGCCAAGGGTAGCCTTGTACTCAGAGATCATCTGCCTCTCTCTCCCAAGTGTTGAGATTAAAGGTGTGTACCACCACTGCCTGGCCTCCATGGCTAACTAGTGGTTTAGGTCTGCACTCTGATCTTCAGGCAAGCTTTAATTGGTAGGTTACAAACAAAATATCACCACAATACCCTAAATGGGACATGATATCACACCTTCTCCCGGAGTTCAGAGATCATTGTGGAAGCGTGGCCGGGAAGCTTGTAAGAGGCAGAGGTAATGAATGACTACAGTGAAACTGTTTTCCAGATAGGACGGGGCAGCTGCACATATCAGCTCACAGGGGCTGTGACTGCATGTACAAGATTAAGCCAGACAAATCCCAGCATAGATGGAGGAGAGCTTCACAAAGTCCTACCTTTTGTTGAGAAGCTTTTGGCAAGCACATACTAACAACACTAAGTAGACTTGGAAGTTTTATTAAAAAACAAAAAGCAACATGCAATTGGGAAGGAATAGTGGGGGGACTTGACGAAGGCATGAGCATGTATGAAATCCTCAAATAATAAAAAGCCATTTTAGAAAGGACATCATTGATGTTGTTATTACATCTCTGTCCTAGTGAGGGTTCTACTGCTGTGATAAGAACCATGACCAAAGGCAACTTGGGGAGGAAAGGATTTCTTTCACCTCACAATATCTAGGTCGCCATTAGAAAAGTCAGAGCAGGAACTGAGGCAGAGACCATAGAGGAACACTGCTCACTGGCTGCTCATTGCTTGCTCAGCCTGCTTTTTTATACAACCCAGGACCACCAGCCTAAGTGGGCTGGACCCTCCCACATAAAATATTAATCAAGAAAATGCCTGCACAGACTTGCCTATAGGCCACTCTGATGGAGGCATTGTCCAATTGAGGTTCTGTCTTCCCAGAGGACTTTCTGTGTATGCCTCAGCTGTGCTTTATGTCTTAAATTAAGCATCTTTCAATTGGCAACATTGTTAGTAATCTACAGAGAAGCTATCCTTTTCTGGTAGTTTCTTCTTCAATGGAATCCCACAGCCCGAGTTGCTTAGAAACAACAGACGTGGCTTGCTTATGTTTCTGGAGAATGGAAGAGCAAGGTCAAAGTGTGGCAAATTCAGAAATGTGTTTATAGATGGCACTTTCTTGCTGTGTCTTCACATGGTAAAGGAGGCAGGAAGTTCTCCAACGTTTATTTGTAAAGACACTAATACCATTTAGAAGAGTCCATTTCCAACACACCACTTCTCTAAGGCTCTGTCTCCTAAGACCACACCTAGGGTATTAAATTTCAACCTGGGAAGCCAGATGTCATGGCACATGCCTTTAATTTCAGCATTGAGGAGGCAGAGGTGAATCTCTATGAGTTTGAGACCGGCATGGTCTTACATAGTGAGACCTGTCTTAAAATAAATCCTAGGAGTTTGGGTGCACATACACGTTCTTATCATAGCAGTAGGAAAAACAATAAGGTGACCTTTGTGATAGAGAAACTGTATACCATTTTCATACAGGCAGTTTCCGGTGCCTATAAGCATCTCAACTCATTAGAATTATACTGAACCACTGTAGGCTTCATAGCGAAACAGAGAGATTTAACAAATGGTTTTGATGCTTTTTTATTGTTTTTTATTTTATTTATTTATTTTTTCAAGACAGGGTTTCTCTGTGGCTTTGGAGCCTTGTCCTGGAACTAGCTCTGTAGTCCAGGCTGGCCTCGAACTCACAGAGATCTGCCTGTCTCTGCCTCCTGAGTGCTGGGATTAAAGGTGTGTGCCACCACCACCCAGCACTGCATTTTTTTTATTGCCCTCATAATAAAAACACAAAATCAAGGAGTGTGCTTGATTTTGCTCATGTGATTGAGCATTTGTCTTAAATCCCTGGGTTCAATGCCCAATTTCATAAGAAAACAAAAATGAATATTAAACAGGTTTTGTGTCATTCAGAACCTCTCCCTCCGATGCCTATAGGTATGTGGCAGAGTTTGAGTTGAACTGCTAGACATTTAGAGGCCATATGAGGGGTTAAACGAGGACCATTTCCAACCTCTGCTTTGTCTTTCTATTTGGCTAGTTGACAGTGGGTCTTTGTGTTAGGATACCTCTGTGAATAGCGGGTGGCAACCTGTACATGTCAAGAAGACAGCCCTTGTCTTTACAGAATCGAGCGGGTGATGGACAACAACACCACAGTGAAAATGGTGCCCATAAAAATCGTGCACTCCGAAAGCCAGCCCGAAAAGGAGAGCCGCCAGAGTCTTGCGTGCCCAGCCGAGCTGCCCCCACTGCCCAGTGGGCTGGAGAGGGACCAGATCAAGACGTTGAGGACATCAGAGCAGTGTTACTCCCGCTTCTGTGTGTACACACGACAGGAGGTGGAAGCCCCTCATAGAGCCCGCCCCCCAGAGCCCCAGCCACCCAGCACTCCAGTGCCTCCTGTCAGAGATAGCTGTTCCTCCCCTCCCTCACTTAACTACGGGAAGGCCAAGGAGAAGACCGTGGATGACTTGAAGTCTGAAGAATTAGCCAGGGAGATTGTGGGAAAAGACAAGTCCTTGGCTGACATCCTGGACCCTAGCGTGAAGATCAAGACCACCATGGATCTGATGGAAGGGATTTTCCCCAAAGACGAATCCCTCCTGGAGGAAGCTCAGCAGCGGAGGAAGCTGCTTCCCAAAGTCCCCTCACCCAGAGTCACAGAGGACCAGTAAGTAGATGGCATACACCTGCTTGTTTATCAGTCCCTATCTCCTAGGCTTAGAAGTAAAAGAAGGGACTTGGGGCATATTGATATTCATTATTGCTTCTCGGGGGAGGTGATGGTTTTCCTTGGGGTCCCTAGTACTTAGTGCTTTTTGGTAAGTCTTTAAATGTTCGTACCTGGATTTGATTGCTTGGGGCTTAGCAGAGGCGAGATGATGCCCATTGGAGAATGGAACACTCCTGACATCTAGTGGAAGCATAGCAGAAACGACTAAAGATCTTACAGTGTATGAGACAGCTCCCAGATAGCATCAGTGCTGACCCTGAGAAACCCTTTGTTGGCATGAGGCCATCAGTCTGCTTCCTCAGTTGTGTGGTGTCCATCATCTAATCTCCATATTCAATATAAAGATCGCATGCCTGCCCATCTATTTGTTTGAAAAGTAGGGTCTTTCTATGAACTTTGGGCTCCCTTGAACTTGATTCATCTACCTCAGCTTCCTCAATGCTAGGGTTATAGGAATATGCCACCTCATGTCCCTGTCTTCCCTCCTACCCACTTCTTGATAATGTTGAACTAGAAACTCAGGTCTTCATACATATTAGGCAAGCTGTCATCACTGAGCTATAAGCCTTACTTATTTTGTCTTGTTTTGAGATAAGTTGCCTAGACTGGCTTTAAACTTCAAATCCTCCTGCCTTAGATTCCTGAGAGCTAGCATCTTTATGTGTATTTAATCTGTGTCTCTTTGGTCTTCCTGCCTCTCACCTACTTTTAAGTCCCATTCCAGAACCTGCCTCTAATCTAAGGATGTTATATTGATAACATTTTCTTTCTTTAGAGATGTTTGTTTGTCTGTCTGTTTAAATTTCGGTTACCTAGGGGCCAAGGATGCATCTCAGAGTTAAAGTATTTACCTAGCACATGAAAGGACTTGGATTTAATCCAAATCACTGCTGGGATGGGAAAAGCAATTTTTTGCCTCTTCACCCAGGAAACAGGACACAGGCGTGCCAGGGGTCGTGTCCTTGGCCACCAATTCTACCTATTACAGCACATCGGCCCCCAAGGCAGAACTTCTTATCAAGATGAAGGACTTACAGGAACCTGAGGAGTATTCAGGGGGTGACTTGGACCACGACCTGTCAGTTAAGAAGGTAAGAAGTGAAAATCTGACCTCAACTCAGTAGCTTTAATTGAAAACTACCAAGGAGGCTGAGGCTAGAGAATCATTTAAGGCTGGGAGTTCTGGACCATTCTGGAAGGAATAAAGAGACTTTCCTCTATGCAACCAAAATCCCCTACCTGCTGAGCGTAGAGATATATGCATGTTATTCCAACACTAAGAAGATTGAGGTAGGCTGGTGACGAGTTCGAATCAGTCTGCGCTGCATGGTAAGTTCAGCCTGATCTTCACAGTGAGATCCTTCCTCAAAAAAAATTAAAATAAAAACAAACAACCCTTTCCTCAGAATTGCATGTTCTAGCCTTTCTACAAAGCCCTTGAAGATCCATCTGTAGGCAGACTAGAGAAAGGAGCCTTCTGTAAAGGACTTTGTGTTCTTATGGAATTATGTATGGCTACCACACAAAAAAAAAAAGACATGTCTAACATAGGCTTGGTGAACCTGACCCTCTACCTGCTTTTAGAAATAGGTTTTATTGAAATATAGCCACATTCATTTGCTTATATATTGACTGTCACTGATCATGGAACCTACAAGGAGTAAAATATATACACACTAGTCCCTCATGGGAAAAGTTTGCCAACCCTTGCTATACTACATCAGGTATTAGACAGTTGGATAGAGTGAATAGCTAGAAAGAGACAATGCCTGTGATTGTAGAAACACAGAGTAATGTCAGGCAGGCTCTTACCCTAGAACTGTGTCCTGTGTGATGGAAAGGTAGAGGAGGTACGAATACCCTTGGTGGGAGCTTGGTGGTCTTGGGGAGAAGCAGCAAAAGGCAGGGCTTCAGCTTCATGAACTAAGAAAGAAGGTTGGAAGTTAACTCAGGGCCATTGTATGCAGTACCCATGGCAGTCACGGCAAGGATACTGTTACCTATTGCTCCTGGACCCAGTGATTTGAAAGATAGCACAGATTGATCTTAATTATCTAAGAAATGTTAGGGAAGGGAGTATTATGACCTATTTATATAATAAAAATCCTTTCAGTGTAGAAAATGGTAACCTTCTGGGTTCTGGGATCCAAATATTATCTCTTAAAGACTTTGAATTAGAGCAATATACACTTTATTCTAGTCATGTGTCCATATTTTTAAAAACTTCAGCATTTACAGTTTTTCTTCATGAAACAGAATTCATAGAATTTGAAGCATTTTGATTTAGGCTATGCTGGACATACATTTTTATTTTATTTTATGTCCTGGCAATGCTGAAGCACACATGGGCAGCCCGTATATGGCGGTTGTGTTGAACTTGCCCATATTGGGTTTCATGGTCTAAGTTGATGAGGACGACTGACTGGGTCTCTTCCTCCTTTCTAGTTAGGCTTTGTTATTTCTTAGCACAATGCATTTAGAAGTGCATATTTTGGCCAAGGACATAGCTTATTGGCAGAATGCTTGCTTACCTAGCATGTATTAGGTCCTAGATTCATTCTCTAGCTCCCTACCTTACAAAGTATGCCAAAATACCTTTAAAATCCAGGTGCGGTGATATGTACCTATAATCCTTGATTCAGGAGGAAGAAGGAAGGGGATTATCATAACCAGCTGGGATCCATAACCAGCTGGATACCAGCCAGAGCTATACAGCAAGTTCCTTTCTCAGAAATTCCACCCCCGAAAAACAATTTACAAAATAATTTTACCACCTTTGTCTATATAGTGCTCTATCTATTTGTTCTGAAGAGCACCAGGTACTGGAATACCATGTCAAGAGGCCACTGCTTTGGGTCAGGGTGACTCACAGAGCATGATGAGTTTTGTTACATTTTATTTATTTATTTTTGTGCACAGAATCATGTTTTGTAAATATCCGTGTTTTCTAACAGTCTTACTCAGCCTAGGGATTACATCCCACATGTTGAGAACCACTGCTGTAAATGACTTGTGTCAGGATGGGTAATCACTTTAATGTTTACTGGTTTGTCTGAGGAAGATGGGGTTCTAGAAATGAATGCCCAGTGGTAGCTGCACAGAAGCATAAATATGCTAGGTTCCGCATTGTCACACACTTTAAAACAGTCAAACTGTGGGTTTGTGTAGGTCAGCCACACAGTGGATGCCCAGGATGAACAGCGCCCAGAGTTATATCCCTAGCACTGCAGAGAAAAGTGAAAGTTGAAATGTTAAATCATTTATGGTACATATATATTTTCCCTACTAATGTCTTTGTCAGATGGAAGGCAGTAGATTATACTGACAATGTCTCAGAAGGTCGCTGATATTCCTTTACATGTGTTACTGTTACCTCTCTGTAATGAGACACTTGACATAGACAACATAGAAGGAAGGTTTCTATTAATCATGGTTTTAATTATGGCTGAGTTATCCAATAGTGGCTGTGGCATAGTCCTACTCATCAAAGCCACAGTCAGCTGCAGGAAGGGCAAGAAGCAGTGCTTAGATCATGCCCAGTGTCTCAGTCCTCTACCACCTCCCAATAATTTATTTTTTCAAATTCTGAAACCATAGATGGATAAAACCATTAATTGGGTCAGAGCTCTAAGATCTAATTGCCTCTGGAATCATCGTATTCAGTATCTGTTAAGTTTTTCTGAGAAGATAAGAACAAACCACCTATTTACCACAGATAGGGTACCAAGGTAATATTTTGGTTAGGGTTCTCTTCAGTATTGTCTTATTGAAAGAATTCTGTTAAGAGACAGACAGATGAAGCAAAAGGCTCCATAGCAAAACTAAGCAAAGCAAACATTGGAAGATGAACTGGGTGGGCTTCCCAAAGCACCGAGTAGCCCATAGTTCTTCATTGTGAAATTTGAAAGGATTTTAATGACTATTTATGAGGCAGGTGGCATATTCATGGAATAAGGCAACTCTTTTCGTTTCTGAAATCATGGTGCACCAGATTTCCTTTTTAAAGGGATAGTGTTTACCTGATCCTCTTAAAAAAGCTCCAAAAGGAAGGGTGTCGACCCTACTGCAAATGTTGATTTCAGATCTTTTGTGGATATAGACTCTTCATTAGTTCACATGTGTAGAAGGTTGCCCTGGCTCCTTCGTTTCTGACAAAGAGGAACAGCCTACCTGCAGCTTCAAAGAGACATAGTGGTTAAGACACATAACTTCAGTGGTCCTCAGGTGCCTCATTTCTAACTCCTTTCATAATGGGCATCAAAAAGATGGGTTTCATTCGTATATAGCTTGGTGAATCAATGAGTTTACTGGATTTACTGCAAGGAGCAGGAATGACCCCAAAACAATCACATCACTGGGAAAGTCTCACCCCGGCTTAGGTAACAATTTCCCTAAAGCTACATAGGTGGAGTCCTAGTCTACACACCATTTTGCCCCTCTCAAAGACACATGTATTGGGGGAGGTCTTACATGCTCATAGGAAATGTGCGAGAGAAAGTGGCTGGAATCTCAGGAAAGGGTCTAATGACCTTCCCTATTCTCTCTTCTGAGGAAGAGTTAACAAGCTGAACTTATTGGTGGTCTTTTTTGTTTTTGAGTAATGACAAGCCTGGGAGAAAGCTATATAGGGAGAGGCACTTTTACACAAGCCTAAAAATCTGAATTTACTCCCCAGATCTCACAAGGTGTCAGAAGAGAACCAAGTCCTCAGTTTTCCTCTGACCTCTCCATGTGTGCCATGGCTCGCTTGTACTTGCATGCGTGAATGCACATGTTTGCATATATGCAAACAAACTAAATAAATAATTTTTAATAAAAACATGTGATAGCTGTTTTGCTCAAAGACAGGGATCAACAGTGCTGGATATAGACTCAAACTGTCTCTGTATGTAAGTCTTTAATTTATGTGCTTAAAATGACAGCAGTCAAGGTATCGAATAGATTCCGTGAATCCTTGCGGACACAGAGATCAGAACAGCATCTACTGTGCGTCAAACTGAGGTAGCTCTAGCATTCTAGGACATTCAACAATGAGAATTTATTTTATTTAGCTTTTGTTTTTATGTTTGGAAATAGTATCTCATTATATAACCTGGGCCAGCCTGGAGTTCATCATCTTTGAGCCTTTGTCTCCCCGATGCTGAAATTAAAGACATAAAGCACCAGGCCTGGGTTCCTCTTTCTTTTTTGGATTCATTCGTGAATTTTTTTGTGGTGCTGAGGTTGGAACCCAAAAACCACATGAATGCTATGCAAGTACTTTATCACTGACTTATATATACACCAGCCCTGTTTTGTCTCTAATACATTTTATATATACATTTAATTTCATTTCTTTTAACATTTGTGTGTAAACGTGCAAGTACATGTACATGTGTGCATGCAACAGCACATACATGGTGGTCAAAGTCCAACTGGTGGGAGCTGGTTCTCCTTTCACCAAGTGGGTTGTAGGATTAGAACTCAGGTCATCAGACCTTTATTTGCTGAGCTACCTCTTTGGCTCACACAAACAAGGAAGCTCATATTTAACCAGGAGGCCTTTTCCTCTCCCTGGTTTTATAAATCCCCCGTTATTTGATGGCTCAAAGACTAACATCCCCAATCTAGCTGAATTCTTCCCAGACTGTGTATGACTTGGCTATACTAACCTAGAGCCCCAGCTTGGGATGATTCGAACTAATGTCCCAATGCTTCCCTGCGCCCTACAGCAAGAGCTCATCGACAGCATCGGCCGCAAGCTGCGGGTACTGCGGGAAGCCCGAGAGAGCCTGCTGGAAGACATCCAAGCCAACAATGCCCTGGGAGAAGAGGTGGAAGCCATTGTGAAAGACGTCTGCAAACCCAATGAGTTTGACAAGTTCCGGATGTTTATTGGGGACCTAGACAAAGTGGTGAACCTCCTGCTGTCACTGTCAGGCCGCTTGGCCCGTGTGGAAAATGCCCTCAATAATCTGGACGACAGTCCTTCTCCTGGAGATCGGGTACTGGCAAACGTGTCTATGTGGGAAATGGGAAGTGGTGAGGATGCTTTAGAGTGACCATCCTTGGGGTGCTAGGAAAGTCAGCTCTTAGAAGCCTCATACGGTCTGTGCATGGCATAAAGCATCACATGTATCCTCAGTTTTCTTGTTCTCAGAAGAAGATAAATCCCTCACTTCCATAGGTTATGTTTCAGCCAAACATCTTTCTCTGTTCTTTGCATATTATGGAACTTCAAAATCAAACTCTTTGTTAATTAAATAGGTACTAGACTTTCGCAGGGAGGAGGGGCATTACAGGCATATACCGTCACATGTGTCCTCGGTTTTCTTGTACTCAAGAAGATAAATTTCTCACTTCCATAGGTTATGTTTCAACCAAACATCTTTCTCTGTTCTTTGCATATTATGGAACTTCAAAATCAATCTTTTTATTAATGAAACACGTCTGGCTCTTTCCCACTGCTGTCTCAGTAGCTTTCAGGAATCCATGTGATTTTCACAACTTGAGCAATATTTGTAGAACACGTTAATCATGTCCACTTGTTTTCCATTTGGAGGATGTTGGCTTGACCTGTCCTCTTTCAGGGAAAGTATCTCATCTCTTTGTCTCAGGCCTGACAAGGCAAGATGTACTCTAAAGTTTCTATGGTCATGGGAATCCCAAAGAGAGTTTCCGGTTCAGGCCACATTGCATAAGAGATAACAGCCCCTCTTTCCTGAGCTCCTGCCATGTGAAGACAGTGAGTGCGTTCATCTCTTCCTTTCTTCACGTCCTTCATCTTAGACTTGGTAGGGTTTCTATTGGACTTGGATATTCTATAAACTAAAAGCAATGATGGTAAGTTTTGTGTGTCAGACATTGTTTGAAGCAAGACACTGTAAGGAGTGAAGGGCTGTTCCACACATACTTCCCAGCAGCTTTTGCTCTGGGTCTTGCTTTACTGGCCTTTTTTTTTTTTTTTTTTTTTGGTCTTTGTACCGCCTTCTGTTGAAGAATTTCATCCTGCCCTAGAATCAGTCTGTCTGTCTGTCTGTCTGTCTGTCTGTCTGTCTCTCTCTCTCTCTCTCTCTCTCTCTCTCTTCCCCTGCCTTTCTCCCTCTCCTCTCTTCTCCCTCCCCTCTCTTTCCCTCCCCTCCCCCTCTCCTCATAGTGTTGACTCTGCAAGCTTGGAGTTGGAGAGGGCCAAGAAAAATAGAGAAGGGGAATTGTTGGGGGAAGGGACGTTAAATTGCTACATCAATTGTAGTGTAAGAAAGATAAACTCCTCCTGTCCTCTTCCCTCCCCACCTCTCCCCTTGCTTCCCCTCTTCTCCTCTCCCCTCCCCTCCTCTCCCGCTTCATGCTATAGCCCAATCCTATATTCTTTCTATTTTGAGGCCAGGTGTCAGTAATTTGTCTGGGCTGGATTGGAATTTACTTCACAGCTAAGACATACCTTCACTTAGGAGCTTTCTGCCCCAGTCTTCTGAGTAGATGAGATTACAGGCCTGTGCCACTGGGCTCAACTTAATTATAGTATTTCCCTTTTTCAGTTTTGGGACAAACAGGATTCCCAAGTCCTTTGTCTCTTTGAAGCAGGTCAGAACTCTGTAACTGCTGGTCCTTGATTTTAAGGCAAATGGAAGAGAAGGCACAGACAAAGAGGAAATCCAGAGGGGCCTAAGAGTGACTTCAGGAAGGGTGAGGAAAGGAGGAGTTGTAGAGAAGCTGGCCATAAGTTAAAAGCACATGTAGACTACATTCTCGTCATTTCTATGGGGATCCCATGTGATTTCAAGGATTCCATCAGACTGGTTTCCAAAAGCTGCAGGGCTTTTAAAGAATTGGCCAGAGTCTTTGCTTTAGCCCTGCCTCAACAGGACTTTCTGTCTCCCTCCCCTCAACAGCAGTCACTGTTGGAGAAACAGAGGATCCTAACCCAGCAGCATGAGGATGCCAAGGAGCTTAAAGAGAACCTGGACCGTCGTGAGCGCATTGTGTTTGATATCCTGGCCAACTACCTCAGTGAGGAGAACCTGGCTGACTATGAACACTTCGTGAAGATGAAGTCAGCCCTCATCATTGAGCAACGAGAGCTGGAAGATAAAATCCACCTGGGTGAAGAGCAGCTCAAGTGCTTGTTTGATAGCCTACAGCCTGAGAGAAGCAAGTAAGAGACCTGTCCCTGCAGAAGTTGGACACTGAGCCTTGGAAATTAATGCCTGGGAATACAAGAGTGAATCCAAGCCTATTTGCCCATCTCTGGAGACACACTCTGGAGCCACAAGACTAGTAAAAAAGCAATAATGTCCTATTAGTATGTGATGATTGATTTATGTTTTTCATTTCTATTGGTTTGTTGAGCAGAGTTTCATATTACATGTGACTTCACAGAATGCCAGCCTTTACTGGTCAGCAGAGACCCCTAGAATTTCCAATGGCTGGGCCCACAATACATGCAAGCACTCCTTTGCAGCACTGACACCATTGTTCCTCCCTTGTGTAGATGCCAAATACATCCCTATGGTACATGAGAGGAAAGACCCTTGTGATTTAGCCAGGCCTCGGCTGCTGTGTGTTCTGTTTTTCATTTAATAATGTGAGCATTCATTGGTTTATCATCGTGACGTTCTCTGATCCAGTAAAAATCAGTGATGATGATAATTTATTGATATGTGGGAAACATGAACAGTTTTCTAGTGATTAAAAACCAACTATGAAATGAACAACCTACATATTGGATACATTCATTCCAAGAATAAAATCATCACATAGCTTTGTATGCACGCTTTGAAATACCCAAACAAACAGAAGCTAAGTGTCCTTCTTGTCACATCTTAAATAATTTCTAACCAAGTGACATTATTTGGTTAAAAGTGTGTCTACCTGTAATGTTATTGCTTGTTCTTTATTTTCTGAGACCAATGGAATATTTTGAAGTTTTCTCCCCCAAAACACTACTTTGTGTATGCAATCCTTAATGATAATTGGTGGTTTGTCTCTTTTTACATTTCTGTCTGTTACCATGAGCCACAGACCATGTACCTTAAGACTTAAGATTCCGTCTTCTAGTTTGTCAGAGGTCCTATGGAGTGATTAGTACTTACATTTGAAATCAAGTTTCAAGATTCCTTGTCCTTACCAGTTGAAATGGAAAGATGGATAAATGGAGTGTTACTCATTAAAGCAACACTGTCATTCTATTGGTTTCCAGTTAACAGGACAGGGATTAGGAAAAAGTATTTGTAAATCGTGTCTGATTTGTTACTCATTTTATTTTTATTATTATTTGTTTTAGAAGAGTCTCACATAACCTGGATTGGCCTCAGTCTCCCTATGTAGTCCTGATGACCTTGAACTACTGATCCTCCTGCCTCCACTTCCTGAGTTCTGAGTTTACTAGCATACCCCCACTTCCATGGCTTTATACATCTGATAAAAGATTTATATAAAGAATTCCCAATACCCAATAGTAGAAAACAAACCATTTGGAAAAAGTGGGCAAAAGACTTGACTAGACACTTCACCAAAGAGAATGTATGTATGGCAGATAAACACATGAAAAATGTTCAGGCACCAATGGCGTGTATAACTTGCGTTAAATGTGTGTAGGTTTGGTGTAGTTCAAGAGATGTTTATGTAACTAAGTGCATGGTGAAAGATGAGCAAGTCCCTCTAGTGACTTGATGTTTAGGCATCACTAGTCTTTGTTCTATCAAGGGATTATTTAATTCTTGTTTTCCCTTGAGATTGCAGCAGATGCAAAGATTTCCCTCTTGCCAATAACCACACCCTTTCCAGAATACACATGCACACTTAGATCCATGTGTATATGCATGAGCTCACACTCCCATACACAGTTGTCTTAAAGGACCAGAATCCATGCTTCCTGAGCCAGAAGAGCAGAGGTTGACACTGTACAATTGAGTCAAGGTAGGCAAGCTTCTGTACTGCAGAGCACAGATGGTCTTGTTGACAATCTATCACTCGTCGGCTGGAAGAAAACCTTTGCAAATGCATTGAATCCTATTAAAGTTACTTCTAGCTTTTGAAGTCCCTGATTTGTCACTGCAGCATCCTCTTTCCACTTGGTCATTCCTTGCTGTGAATGTGGGTCATGTCAGAAAATGTAATGCTGACTGTCCACATACTTTTCAAGGAATTGCAGACTGTTTTGCTTTTAATTTACACCAGGCTATTTACCTGTGGTTCTTTATCCCCAAATACAGTGTTGTGAAAATTTGATATGTGTGTAAACTGTGAATAGTGGAATTTTGTTTGTCTGTAACCTGGCTTTTCGTGTTGTTCCAAGATTGTCTGCTATGGAAAACAATATGTAGTGCTCTAGCATGCTTGTACTAAAATATATAGCAGTTATGACATTCTTGACCATTCCCTGCTTGCCTCTTCCATGTCTGAATAGCAGGGATCTAGGAATTCCAGAGAGTTCATGTACATATGTCTGTGACTATTGATACTATTGCATAAGAAACAATCTGGTGCTAATGGTTTGTCCTTGGCATGCATAGGCGTGGGTACAGTTGTGGAACTCTCTGTATACACACTGATCTTGCTTGTGGTCGGTTTTTGTGGCTTTACCCTGAACTCTGCCCTGGAAAAAAAATGCACATTTGTGCTTGATGCTTACCACTTGTCAACCGATCCTCTTGCTTGACTTTAACAAATAAATAATTTCTCTTCAAATGAAATAAAAATGTCTTTATTTCCTATATTATAGCTTGTATAAAAATAAAAATACCAGTGATGGGCATGTAGTCCAAGGGAAAGGGTATGAGCATAGTGCCATGTTCAAATACCAGCAGTATCATCCACCAAAAAAAAAAAATCCTAAAACAAACACAGTAGCAAGCACCTGTAAGCCCAGCCCTTGGTGGAGTGGCAAATGGCTGGACCCACAGCATAGTGTTCCTTATGTATACAGGTGCCAAACACATCCCTAATTGGCATGATAGGCAAGATTCTTGTGATTTAGCTAGGTGTGGGCTGCTGTGTATTTTGTCCTTGTAGGTCAACAGTATGGCCATTCAATCATATTTGTCATAATTCTTTTGCCTAACTAAAAATCAGTGGTGATAATTAATGTGTGCTAACATGAATGGTTTCCTGGTGGTTAAAAACCAATTGAACAACATGTATGTTGAGTGTATTCAATGAGATATTAACATCTTAAGTGCATTAGTATACCTACAACAACTCTTTTTAGTTCATGACATTGTCCTTTATACTACTACTTTCTGAGCAGCCTTTCTGATCTGTTTAGTCCCCATCATGGCCATGACCTACCCATTCTACCAATCTCTTGCTATCTGGCTTAAATACCACACCTTTCTCTCTCACCTTACTGGGCACATGAAGCTAGAAACATGGGGTCCTTTGGGTGGTTATAGCAGAAGGAGTGGGTCTTGTATACATAGGTTTTCTGCTGAATATGATGTCTGCTGAGCATTAAGTACCTTGTCTGGTGTAAATTTTTGTCTGAGCAGAGTGTTATCCCCCACCTGGCTCATCTTAGGACCTCAGAAGCAGCCTTTCACTTTATTTCATTCTTGTCAAGCCTGGTTGTCTAGCTTGCCTGATACTCTGGGTAACAAAGGCTTCCAGGTGAGAATGCATCTAGCCCACACTTCCATGACTTAAATTTTCGTCTTCAACCACAAGTTTGATGCTTTCCATGTAGCCACTTGTTGTCAATCCTATAATGGGACAGGCATTTCCGACTATCTCAGAAGAAACATATACACTGTTATTTACATTCAACTACACTCTTAACTTTTCTAACCATCTGCTGCTTATATTATCAGACCTGGTTGTTAGGTGTTTTGTTTTTGGCTTGGATTTTGTGTGTGTTTTGTTTTGGTCAACTTGAGTCAAGCTAGAATTATCTGGGAAGAGGAATCTCAAGTTGAGCTGCCACCAAGTGGTCTGTAGGCAAGTCTATAGGACATTTTTCTATTTGATGATGTGGGAGGGTCCAGCCCAATGCGGGGTGATGCCACCCTTGGGCAGGTTGTCCTGAGTTCTCTAAGAAAGCAATCTGAGGAAACTAATAAGCAGCACCTCTCCCTGGTTCTCCTTCAGTTCCTGCTCTGACTTCCCTGGATGATAAACTACAACTGTAAATAAAAATAAACCTTTTCCAACTTACTTTTGATCGTGGCGTTTTACCATAACAATAGAGATCTTTAAGAGGCCTTCCTTTCAAAAATAGTTTTTTTTTTTGTCCATGCTTTATGATAGATGCTTGTAATCCAAGTTACTCTGCAGGCCGAGAAGAATTACAAAATTAAGGCCTCCTTGGGCTAGCTTAGTAGAGTTCTTTCCTAGCATGCACGGGAACCTAGCTTCAATTTGCAAAAACAGACAAAAATAATTTGTTCATGATTAATCAGCCAAAGAGGATGGTTATAAATTTGTTCCTCAGCAGGACTGCTCAAGCATAAAGGAGGGATTTCTATTATCAGTCTACAGTAGTCTCTTACCCTCTTTGTCCAGGGTAGTTCCTTTAGGAATTTCACAACCTTCAATGCTTTCCTATTTCACCCTTCATTCTCCTGCATCCAAATCTACCATTCTACCTTGCAGTTCAAGGCCAGTCTTAGACATGTGTTAGTATCCCTTCTCCTCATTTCTAACACTTAGACACTTGGAGGAAATATCAAAAAACTTCCCATGTCCTTGTGGCTTCCTCTGTTCATCTTCTTCCCTGTAGCATGTGTTAGTTATGACTCATGGGGCCTATCTCATCCTCTCTGCTTGGCACCTGAAAATGTTTCCAGAGCACAAGTTCCTTGATTTGAGATATGTAAGTTGTTAAGTCTGTTCAGCTTTGCACTTTGATGTTCTTTTATGTGTATGGGTAGTGTTTACCCTTTATGTATGTCAGTACACCACATGCAAGCCTACTACCCACAGAAACCAGAAGAGGGTGTTCCATGCCCTGGAACTGGAGTTACAGACCGTTGTGGGCTACCTTATGGGTGTTGGGAATTAAACATGAGTCTTTTAGAAGAGCAGTTCCTAACTGCTGAGTCATCTTTCCAATCCCAACATGCTATGCTGTGGGAACTTCTTCCGCCAAATAGCCTTTAATATTTCAGCCCACTTGGGCGTGGCCTCTTATACTATAAATGCAGCCATAAACTTTGCACACTCTCTTGCACACTCTCTCGGCTGCTGGATTCAGTTCCTGCTCCCCATTTGTGCAGAGGGCTGTGATCTGTGCATCTGCCCCTGAATAAAGAACCCTTTATTATACTCAATTCTGAATTAGTGTGGGTTACATTATAGTGTCCATCTGTTGCCCACATGAATCCCAACTCCACACCTATCAGGATAGCTACAAAAGGTCTGTGACCCAGAAGGTCTCCCAACACTACCCACCTGGCTTGATTTCACCTACTAAGTGGTTTTAGGGAAAAAAAAAAAAAAACCTTGGTGGCTTGGCAATTTCCTGGGATTGCACATGCTTCCCCACCCCTGATGGTTTCCCTGCAATGTGGTGACTTGTACAGCTTTCGGTTTGTGTTCCTTGCTCGTGAGCTCTGGCCTTGATATTCTGGCCATCAAAAAACTCTATGTACATAATAAATTTAATTGTTCTAAATTAACATTAATTTGAGAGACAAAATTCAGTCCTTGTCAAAGGGTGCTGAGAAATTATTGGAAAGAATTCATACTGTTGAATTTGAAAATCAAAATCTGTTAAAAAGTTATGATAAATCAGCAGATAGGTTATCTCTCCAGGAAGGCACTCTAAATGCCATCCAAATAATATCCAATGTTGAAAAGTTCTCCTTAATGGATAAATTTCATACCTTGGAATCACATGTGCAGGATAAGGACCAGATGAGTCAATTAGATCAATAGAAGTAAACTCAGGTCAAGAGATTCAGGTATTACAAAAGGCAGTGGTAAAAAGATTTGAAATGATTGAGGAAATGATTGGAACTGATGAACAGGGAGAGAAGATACAAGGACAGGATTTAGCCTCACCAGGATAGGGCAGTCAGAGCAGACTCACCCAAGGTTTTAGCGTCCTCCCCTGCAATCACCTCTGACAAACCATCATGTTCTAAATGACCCAAAGGATCCAAAGAATTTGGATGGAAACCTATGTGTATGAATGATCTAAAAGAAATTAAACAACCAATAGAATTTTGGGGCTTGCATTCACCATTTGTTAGTGAAATGGTGAAAATGTTGGCTTCAGTAAGTCTCAGTGGTCCATGAACATGAACCTCAACTGCTATGGAAATGCTATTGGTAAGAAGAGGCAAAAATTTTAGAATAACAGGGAAGAGCAAAAGGATTTAATGTTATCCAAGTTCAAATTTTTTGCAAGGGTACTATGCTGTCCCACAGGATCAAGCTCTTTTTGATAAACACATCTTGTCCCTATGCCACACAGCAGCCTTAAATGCTTGAGACAGGATTCAAGAACCAAGAAAAATAATTGAATCATATAGTACGCTTGAATAGGGCCAAAGTGATTCCTTTAGTGACTTTTTTACAAAGATTAACACAGGCTGTATAAATATGAGTAACAGACCCAGAAGCCAGATGAGTGGTTTTCGAATCTCTGGCTTTTTAAAATGCCAACTTATAATGCAAAAAGATACTTTTGTTTTTTGGAAACATTAGGTCAGCACCAATATATGAATGGATCTTGCATACAATGAACATTGAGACATTTAACTAAAATACTGAGTCTTTGGTAGGAGAAGCAATTTCCAAAGGAATGAGGAGACATCAAAATGCCAAATGTTTTAATTATGGTAAAATAGGACATCTGAGAAGGGATTGTAGACAGGAGTTCCTAGAAATAATGTCTCCCCTAGAGATGGCAAAATTAGAAGGTCTAAATCTTATGGATTATGTAGAAGATATGGCAAAGGCCAACATTGGACCAATGAATATAGATCAATAAAAGACAAGGCAACCCAATATCATCAGGAAACCCCTTGGGGGGCCCATCACAGACACACATGTCACATGTGGCTAAGTAATTCCCAGTAACTGAAGGGCATGTATCACCAGGAAAATTAAAAAATCCATCCCTGCTGTAAAGAACCAAATTGTTGTGGATGGTGGATTAAACATGGAGGATGAATCAAAAATCCTAATAGGGGATAGAAAGCAAATATTTAGGGAGACAATATAAATGATCAAAGACCAAAGAAAAGAGTGCATATAAATAACGTAATTGGGGAACTTCCTGGACACAGGTATGGATGTAACTATCATTGCTGCAGAATGTTGACAAACTGGCCTCTTCAAGAGGCAAATGTTCAATTCTTAGGAATTGGAACTATATCTCAAGTGAAACAATGAAGGAGATGGGTTGAATACATAGAGACAGAAGGACAGAAAAGAAGGCTGAGGGCATATGTGGCTAATAAGACATAATTTATGGGGAAGTGACATGCTGTGACAATGGAATACCCAGATTAAAATTCCTGCAGTACCAAAAACTCATGTTTTCCAAAAGGATATTATAAGTTACTATGAAAAAAAGGTTACCAGCCATACAGGCTGTACAAGAACACAAAACAACTAGCAAGCCTTTAGTGGTACCAACAACCATAACGTTAAAATGGTTAACTGAGAAACCAATATAGGTTAAAAGAATGGCCTTTAAAACAGAAGAGAAGCTGCAGGCTTTACAACAACTGGTACAGGAGCAACTGTT